TGGGCACACAGAAGGGACAGTACCAGTTCCCTGTACAGCCCCTAAATTTATACCCCAGTATCACCATGGGGAACTCGAGTTCCCCGAGGAGCAGCACCCACGTGTGGCTGCTGCAATCAGTCCCTGGGTGTGCTGAGGGATGTCACAACACTTGACTCATGTTGTCACCCAAAAGCCAGCATGTTCCAGCCAGTTGCCAGTGCCACAACTCAGCCTTGATCTTATAAACAAGGCTACAACATCAAAGAGCTTCAGAAGGGCAGTTTCCAAACTTCCATCATTGTCTCTCCTGCCCTCAGCCTGAAACTGGATGTTCTATTACCCCAAGAGAGGCCACGTGGGACACAAACATCCACTCCAGGAATATTTCTAGCAATACTTCCAGCAATATCTCCACAAGTCAGACTTTCTAAAAAGCCTTCACTTTAACTCTCTCATGACTAAGACTTGCAGTTCATCCAAAAGGCTCAGGGCAGCTCATGTAACCCATGGTTTGTTTTAAAGAACAACACAAACTGCTGAAAGAAGAATAAGCTGATAGTGGTTTATGACACTTCCACAGGTGAAGATCAGAATACAGGTGGAAAGGATTGCTGGGACAAGAGATTTCAGAGAATGTGCCCCAGCTGAGGGCAACACTGCAGCCTTCTTCAGTGAGGAACACATGGCTCTAATGCTCAGGAGACTTACACACAAAGGGACATTGATCTGAAGCCTCTAGAGGCACCTGTAAATAATTTATTTTTTAAAAAAATCAAAACAAACTTGCAGATAAATCACTTGTTGGTCAATATGAACCAGCAAATCACCAAGGTGGCTTTTTCAGTCAGTTAAAAATGCTTACTGCATTTTGAAGATACCCAAACCAGCTGAGATGATTCAGAGAGAGAGACTCAGAGATTTGTAGGGATTGGAAGGGACCTTCCATCAGGTCCCTTAATAATTCATTTGTATTTCAGAAGCAGCAGGTCCCTTAATCACTCCTTTGTACTTCAGGCACCACATCTGTGTCCCACTGGTGTTGAAACAGTCTCCAAACATCCTTAGAGATGCTGCTCTCCCTAAGTTTCACATTCCAGGGCTCAGTAATATCAGGCTATTTCATGCCTGTTGGTCTTCTAGGAAAAGATAAAGTCTTTGTCTGTTACTCTGTGGCCCTGTGGGGCCCTCACCTTCTGTGCTGTCTGAGCAGGAGGTCCCAATGCCCCCGTCCCCACTCTCAGCCACGCTGGAGCAGCGACTGACTCTGCTCTGGAACTTCTCAGACAACATTGGTGTTTTCCAGTCAGTCTCCTGGATATGACTCTTCTGACTGGTGCTGGGATCTGGAGAGGAAAAAGCCAAGGATATCTATATTTCAGCCAACAGACTGAAAAGCCTTTGAAAACAACTAATTAAGCCAATTCCTCATGCTACCAAAACCCAAACTGATCCTCCAATTCCTGCTAAAGAAATCTCCCATCAAAAGGAAATGGCAGCAAGCACAGGGAAGTCAAATAATATCAACAGGAGATTGAAAATAAATAAATAAATCTTATTATGAGAGACAGAATGCAAAACCAATATATTATCTTCCCATTTAAAAGTCTGGAGATGTTACACCCAGCTGATGCTCTGGCATGGATAAAAAGAGCACCAGCACACAGCAAAACTGGTTAAAGATATATGTTTGCATTACCTGTTAATAACTACTCCAGCCTGATCATTTATCTCAAAAGACAGGTTAATTATCAAATTATTCTCTACCCTTACATAGCCATCCAACTGTTTCATTTGGCAGGAGTAAGACTTTTTTTTTTTTAAATAAAAAGCTTTTCTAAAAAACTCCTCCCAGGGCCACCTGCCTTCTCAGAGAAGCTGAAATTGGATCCAACAACAGGAGGGCTTTAAAGAAAGGACTTACCTGATGGACTGTTGCGCTGGAGCCTCAGGTCTGGATGTTTCTCAAGAGCAGCCATCTTCTCCATCCCCTGAATTACAGGGCAATAAACAAAAATCACTTTAAGTGGGAACAGGGTTGGGTTTGTGCTGATTTAAATGATGATTTTTACATACACATCATGCTCTTTATTCAGAATAACAATATTTCACATTAAATTAGCACCTCCCCTCAAGAACAGCTCTGTTTCATCCCTGCAAATCCCTTAAAACCCCCTCACAGTTACTGTAGCTTTTCTTCAGGCCTGAGAAATGAGGAGAGCTCCTGTTGGCAGCACTCCCCAGGTATGCAGCAGCTCCCTTCAACTGGGGCATGTGTCACCCCCACCATCATTATTTATAGATCAGTCACCATGGCACCCACACCCTGGCTTTATGTCTATCCAGACTCCAAATTCCCCTTTAAAACTCTTTTTAAAAAAATGTCTCCAACCAGTTCCTTTCTGCCCTCTGCAGAGGTCACTGAGCAACTACACACAGAAATGCAGCCTTTCCAAACTCGGGGTTGCTGGTCCATAAATGGCAATCATTATCTTATCCCCAGCTTTGGTTTAATTCAGCTGCTTCTCCCAGTTCTTCAGGCAGTGAATTTTCTGCCTCTGATAATGCCAGTTCAATTAACAGCTCTCAAGCTTCATTATGGAAACTCCAGGCCTCTCTCCACCTCTACCAGTCAAATACTAAACCCTCTAATACCAGTTCTTACAGATTTGTGCTGAACTGACTCAAAGAGCTCACAGAAACCATTAAATCTTAGAAAACAGACACCTACAGATTTGACTACATACAATAAACATTGGGGATACAAGATAATAAACCAGAAGCAGCATTTCACCCAGTCAGGAAATAAAAACACTTTGAGCTGAACATCGTGCTTATGATGCTCAGTTCTGACACGTTTCACAAATTCCTGAGTTTAAACCTCCAACTCCAGCCCTAGTCAGGAGGCGTTTATAACGGAAATTGAAGTGTGGGCTCTTGAAATTAAATAAAGTAACAAAAAAAGGCATTCCCAGCTCACTCAGCACCCCCCTCTCACAAACACCACCCCCACCATCCCACAAACCACCCCCTGCCATCAGGGAGCAGAGGGGAGATCCTGCAGAGGGGCTGGGAAGGGTCATGTGGAAAAGAGGGAAAACTCATGGGGAAAAAAGAAGGAGAGGGGTGGGTTGGGAAGAGCAGCGATTGACCCGATGGAGGGTGGGTGGAGGGATGTGAAGCCAGGAGAGAAGAGTGACAGCGGTTAAACCGGGAGGAGGGGGCCCAACGGCCTGGAAGGGGCGAACAGCCCCTGGGGTGCGGGTCCCTGAGGAGATG